AATCACAGATGAAATTATGACTATTGTACTTGCTTTGAAACTATGTATAGATATTGCTCATGAAATGCATGACCTTTACTATGAAATATGTTGTATTTATGTGTCTTATGCATTGGCACGAAGTCCAGGGAGCTTTATTTATATATTTATTCAATCATCTATTTTTGTAACTTTGTAGACCCTATGAAATGGTTTAAGTATACTGAGAATCATGAAATTAAAATCTTTTATATATATATGACTACCCATCATATTTTGTTACTAGGTTTATCCCACATTCTTGAATAGACACTTTTAAAGGCCCATTATCGTTTAGTTTTTTTTCTATTTAACCCACTGTATGGCCATGTTCACTCTGAACCCTATCTCCTAATAACAACACAACTAGACCGTACATCATTGGAGTTTATTGGTCATAGCAACTGTAGCCACCTGTTGCCCTAAGCAGGGTGACTCCAATGAAATTAGCTCTGCTAAGCTGTAAACAGCCTAAACCCAATTGATAGTGCTATGCTTATTTGGTCTTCCCTAGGCCCAGTGCGATTGTTTGCGTCTGCCTTCTTCTGGCATGTGACCCCAACAAAGAGAAAAAATATTGCTGATTATGAATATCTGTGTCTCACTGGCCAATCAGTGGGAGGTTTATCACCAGCGTCTCTTCTGACCAGGCTCCTGCAACGGGGAGGATGTGTTGCTGGTGTAAGTTCTGCTGTGCCGGCTGCCTAGGGAAGGCCTGCATGTGGCTAGAAAAGTTGACCTGTATTTGGGCCTGAAGGTGTCCTGCCTGTAGAGGAGGAAGCTGACCCAAGAGGGAGTGCCATCAATGTTAAGTCTGATGAAGGGACCCTGCGTGGTCCCGAAACACTTGTTTTCCTTTGACAACTGTTCAATCAATGAACTTTTGTTGAACCTAAAAGGATTTTCGGTGTGCTGGTGACATTCTTCTGAACAATTCATGTGTAAAGCGGCACCATCCGCAGTCATTCCAAGCACCCTTCACTGAAGGTGCAGGAATTGGGGTGATCTGAGGTGTAAAGGTGCAGGAATTGGGGTGATCTGTGGTGTGAAGGTGCAGGAATTGGGCTGATCTGAGGGGTGAAGGTGCAGGAATTGGGGTGATCTGTGGTGTGAAGTTGCAGGAATTGGGGTGATCTGAGGTGTGAAGGTGCAGGAATTGGGGTGATCTGAGGGGTGAAGGTGCAGGAATTGGGCTGATCTGAGTGGTGAAGGTGCAGGTATTTGGCTGATCTGAGGGGTGAAGGTGCAGGAATTGGGGTGATCTGAGGGGTGAAAGTGCAGGAATTGGGGTGATCTGAGGGGTGAAGGCACAGGAATCGGGGTGATCTGAGGTGGGAAGGTGCAGGAATTTGGCTGATCTGAGGGGTGAAGGTGCAGGAATTGGGGTGATATAAGGTGTGAAGGTGCAGGGATTGGGGTGATCCGAGGTATGACAGTGCAGGAATTGGGGTGATCTGAGGGGTGAAGATGCATGAATTGGGGTAATCCGAGGTGTGACGGTGCAGGAATTGGGGTGATCTGAGGGGTGAAGGTGCAGGAATTGGGCTGATATGAGGGGTGAAGGTGCAGGAATTGGGCTGATCTGAGGTGTGAAGGTGCAGGAATTGGGGTGATCTGAGGGGTGAAGGTGCAGGAATTGGGGTAATCCGAGGGGTGAAGGTGCAGGAATTGGGGTGATCTGAGGGGTGAAGGTGCAGGAATTGGGCGGATATGAGGGGTGAAGGTGCAGGAATTGGGCGGATATGAGGGGTGAAGGTGCAGGAATTGGGCTGATCTGAGGTGTGAAGGTGCAGGAATTGGGGTGATCTGAGGGGTGAAGATGCAGGAATTGGGGGTGATCTGAGGGGTGAAGGTGCAGGAATTGGTGTGATCTGAGGGGTGAAGATGCAGGAATTGGGGGTGATCTGAGGGGTGAAGGTGCAGGAATTGGTGTGATCTGAGGGGTGAAGATGCAAGCTATATGACTATGGGCAGAAAGCAAAGATTACACCCACATGTGACTGGATTGTCATATTTGGCTGAAGATTGTTTCACCAATAAAATTCAACAATAGCTTTTATATCTGACTTGCTGTTGTGTTTATTCATCAATTGTAGTGGAACGTCAGCTGAGGACATGAGCATCCCTTCCTGGGATACCTTATTGAGGTCAGTGACATGTCGGGTGGACAGTTTTGTATTCGGCCGAACAGAAAGTTTTGCTGGTGATTCAACTGATGACTGATCCTCTTTGTTTATGGTTAATAAATATTACCAGGTGCCGAAGGCAGCCGAGTGAATAACCGAGCCGAAGTGAACAGAGCCGAACGACACTCGGCTGTTCACTCCGCCTCAGTACGGCTGATTTCAGCCATACATCGGCTGCCTTCGGTCAGCCGAAGTGCAGAAGGACTTCGACTCTGGATCGGCTGAGCCGAAGCTCCGGCAGCTCACTCGCTGCCGTTCGCCCCCTATTCTCATAGGGGCCGAATGGCAGGGAGTGAATAGCTGAATGCCGCCGAGCGCCATTCGGCTCGGCTATTCTGCTCAGTACCTCTGTGGTACGAAGCAGAATAGAAAAGAAGTGCAAAGAATGTTTAAAAAAAATGCAAAATTATTTTTAAAATGTTAAAAAATAGGAAGATTAAAAAAAAAAAGAAAAATATTTTAAAAAAGGAGAAAAAATGACAGCTAGTTCCGCCCAACTGTTTTCTATTGTTATTTTCTATTAGTTGTTATTGTTTAATATTGTTAAATGAGAGCTCAGCGTCCCCAGGACAAGACATATGTCTTTGGCTCGGCTGAGCCGCTCAGCCGCCTTCGGCAGCGGTACGGGCTATTGTGAATAGCCGGTAGAGCAGCCCTTCGGTTTGGCTGAAGAGAGCCGAAGGATCAGCCAAAGCTACAGCTGGATCCTTCAGCTGCTACGTGAATAACCCCCAAAGTGTTTTTTTTTTAATAAAGTTACCACAATATAAGTGATATTTAATAAACCACAACAAAGCGCAATAGCCAAATATTTTGCCTCTACGTTGGTGAAAGCGCCATATTTAATTCAATTCATTTTGATTTTTAGTGTGGGATGGGGGTAGTAGTCTATTGGTGAGTCTGTACACCTACAGTGTTTGTATACCCGCTGTGCCCATTATGAGGAGTTCCTACCATCCCTGAGCTGATTTCCTGGGTCTGTACACCTGCTGTGCCCATTATGAGGAGTTCCTACCATCCCTGAGCTGAGTTCCCGGGTCTGTACACCTGCTGTGCCCATTTTGAGTGGTCCCCACCATCCCTGAGCTGAGTTCCTGGGTCTGTATACCTGTTGTGCTCATTATTAAGGGCACCCACAACATCTAAACAGAGTTCCTAGGTCTGCACACCTGCTGTTCCCATTATGAGGGCTTCCTACTATCCCCTGCAGAAATTATTTATTTTATATTATGAAGACCAGGCTTTTTCAGCCAGGGCTCCTCCAAAGGTTGGAGAGGTGAGCAGCGGTAGACTGATCTCCCACCTACAATGACCACCAATGTAAGGGGGCCAATTCCCACTGACATGTAAGGGGTCACTTCCACACTAATTCCCAATGTAATGGGGCTTTTCTCCATTGACCACCAATGTGTGGGGGCATTTATCCACTGACTCCCAATGTAAGGTGATGCTTTCCCACTGAGATACTACAATTTCCACAGTTTGTGTTTGCTTTTCTGCCCATTATTATTTGTTTCATTCAATCAATCAATCACTCAATCAATCAATCACTCAATCAATCAATCATTCAATCATCATTGCCGCATACAGCAGGGGAGTGTTGTAAAATAATCCAGTATGGGTGTCAGATCCCCTAGCTTTGCCATTTTGTCCTTCTATTTAAAATTGTTCTCCAGCTTAGTGATCATACTAATATACCACAACCTCTAGATGTAACTTTTTAGCATGGGTTCCCCGAGACCTCAACATTATATTTGGGGGTAATTAGATTGAGAAAGGCTGAAGTAGATTATTGCAGGAAGAGCTGGAACATGGAAAGGTGGGAGGGAACACCCCAAGCTCCCAGGTGGACAAGAACAGAGTCCGGAACTACAACAGGGAGGTCTCAATGTTGGAGCCTCCAAGACATGTAACTAGACTTAAGGATCTGCCTCAGCCCACCAGGCACCAACTATAACTAAAATATAATTTTAGTTATTTTTGGGGTAATTAGGTTGAGAAAGGCTGAAGTAGAATATTGCAGGAAGAGCTGGGACATGGAAAGGTGGGAGGGAACACCCCAGGCTCCCAGGTGGACAAGAACAGAGTCCGGGAGGGAGATCTCAGTGTTGGAGCCTCCAAGACATGTAACTAGACATAAGGATCTGCCTCAACCCACCAGGAAACAACTATAACTAAGATATAATTTTTTGGGAGCAGTGATCCTTTAAACTATATCCTGTTTTCCAATCAGTGCCGAGGTGTTCTATACAGAAGTTATCTGAGGTCTTGTGGCAGTCCTAGGATAACACCGGCACTCCAAGTAATGAATCAATGGCGTCTGTTTATTGACGCATGAAACATAGCACAATGCATCAAAAAAGCAACGTTTCGGGGTCTCACAGGATCCCCTTCATCATGCAAAATGAGTGATGCAAACAAGTGAAACCATGCATGTTTGCATCACTCATTTTGCATGATGAAGGGGATCCTGTGAGACCCCGAAACGTTGGTTTTTGATGCATTGTGCTATGTTTTATGCGCCAATAAACAGACGCCATTGATCCATTACTTGGAGTGCCGGTGTCTATGTTATCCTGTGATTATAGACGGTTGCCATCAGTTGAGCGCCGCAGCACCTGTCTTTTATAAGGAACAGCGGTTTTGAATGCGATGGGTTCATGGACTGTATCCTGCTTGTGGCAGTCCTGGCACACAGAAGGCACTTCTTAAAATGGATCTGTTTTCTTTTTGGCATGCCTTGACCTCCGGTACAGTAACAGCTGAGAAATTCCAAGCAAGATGCCACGGTCTTACCTTTCATTGTTCTCTTGTGGCTGCAGACAGTGGAAACCAATGGCTATTCCTCTCTCTGTCTCTCCCGAGCTCTCTTCCAGCGCAACTGGACACTTCTGCCTCCGTCAAGAAGGAAGATCGCTCTAATGGTATTAAAGCAGGTGACTTCTCCCTAATGTTTTTGGTTCATCGCCGCCTTCAGGGTTGCGGAAACCTTCCAGTTGTCACAAACGTTGCGCATTCCTTCAAAATCACTGGTGACGGTGCTCAAGGAGACTCTTCCCCATCCAGATATCATCCTCCCCGGCAGCGAAGCATCTTTTGAGATAGTCAGCTTGTTACAGCGGCTCGAAGGGATGCAAGCTCATCCCAGAAGACGCTCTCCTTTTGGTCTGCCGCCCAGACAAACTTCCGTGCAGGACACAAAATGCGAAGTGTTTGGAAGCTTCCGAGTCCCCGAGACTGACTGCTTCAGGCTCAGCCTGCGAAAAGTGGGCTTTTTCCACTGCAGGCAAAGCAGAAATATGACACAGTTAAGTGTACGCTGTACAGAGGGATCCGAGCCCCCACCCATTCCTTAAAAAAAAATAATGTCAAACAAATGTAGAGCCAAGAGCCGGCTGAAAATTTGATTATAGAGGCAAGGCGAGTTTAACTAGCGAAATTCTATCAGGTCGGGAGGCAGTGGAAAGGGCAGCGATGTTGGGCAAAAGTCAGCAACCCAAAGGAACCAATCGGATGATAATCCATTAAAAGGAAGAGTCATGAAAGGTCATTTCTGATTGGTTATTATAGGTTCCGGAGTTGGCACGTCAATCTTTCCTTAGGAGTAATCTTAAAGGTGAACTATGAGGTGGGTGCTTTTCACTCACCTCATAGTTCTAGCCGACCTGTGACAATGAGACTGTCACAGGTCGGCTCAGTAGATCGGGAAGTGAGAGAACACATACCGGCATTCGCTCACCTCTCTATCCCTCTGGATTCCCCCCTCCCCGCTCCGATCATCCAGCGCTGACTGGCGGAACGGACGGGGGAGGGGGCGGGTACAGCTGGCTCTGCCTCTAGATAGGCAGAGCCAGCTGTCACTCACGCAGCTGGGCGGATCTCGACATCGATGTCGGGATCTGCTCCGGCTGCGGTGTCTCAGTATATAGTGAGCTGTAGCTCGCGGTAAACTGAGCTTAGGGTGACGGGAGGACGCTAGTTTGTGTCCTCCCGTTACCCTAAGGAGAACTATGGGGGAAAAGCCCTGACCCCATAGTTCTCCTTTAAGGAAACTTATTCCTAATGATATACATTTTTGGGCTGCAGGAATTAACACAATCACTTATCAACACAGAAATCTGATGGGTCACTGACCCAAAATGTTGAAGCCACTGGATCTGCATGAGAGTCAGGCAACTTACAAGTCAATATTGGCAACCTCCCTCAGTAAAAGATTCCTTTAAAGTGTAACTCTAGGCAAAACTCATAATTTGCGATATGTGTGCAGTTCTGTGTGCAGAGCCGTAGCTGGCTCCTTTTGCGCCCAAGGCAAGAACAAAAAATTGTGCCCCCCAACAGGCGCGTGACATCACCCGAGGCCCCTTGCATGCAGCGTCTTGTGACGTTATGCGCCCCGCCTCCTGGATGCTTATATTTTTTAATTTTTTTTTTACTGGTGGGGGGGGTTGGCTTTCAGGAAATATCTACAATTAAGACTACAATCAAGTAAGTGGATTGGGATATCTCGATGTGACCTATGAAACCATCTAGAGGTCATTTGCTGTGACCTCAGGGTTTATAGAGATACACCCTACAAAAGTGTGAAAACTCCAGTGACAACAACAATGAACACCCAGCCAAAGGATTTTGGATACTGTCCCCCAGGATCCAGGACACTGCAGGTTTCTGCATTTGAGCATTCAGTTGTGCTGCCACAGTCGGGCAGAGTGATCTCCTGGCCAGCAGTGCCAGTATAGTTCTGGTCCAAAGAAAAAGGGAAAGCACGAGCATTGGAGTGAAAGTTATTTGTTTATGACTAAACCAGAGGGAGGCAGCCTTGGCAATCCAGCTGTATATTCTATCATGCCTCTGGGAGTCATACCTGTGGCTGTCAGAATCGGCATTCTGCTGTGAGCCCCGGACGGCTTCATAACGTATATTCAGGGGCGGGGTTCTTGACACCCTGGGCTCGCAGGAATTAGCCAGCATTACCTGCAGTATTCTCCTGTGAGCCCAGGGTGGCTTGATGACATGCGGTCAAGAGGCGGGTTCTTGACACCCTGGGCTTATGGGAAGTGTGTTGAGTAATGATGAGCATCAGTTAACCCTGTAAAGAACCATAGCTAGGTCACAAAGCAGTGCATCTATGGGGGACAGTGCATGAGATACACTATATTGCCAAAAGTATTGGGACACCGGCCTTTACAGGCACAAGAACTTTAATGGCATCCCAGTAGGGTTCAGTATTGGGTTGGCTCCGCCCTTTGCCGCTATAACGGCTTCAACTCTTCTGGGAAGGTGTCCACAAGGTTTAGGAGTGTGTCTATGGGAATGTTGGACCATTTGTGAATAAGTATTACATTGGAAGCTGTTTTTATATTTTAACTTTTTAGGTCAATACATGTTTATTAACCTGGAGCTGAGCTTTCAGTACAAGTAGTGTGTCATTGTAACAGATTCAGATATATATTACCTTCCCCCTGACAATGACTCCATCTGCTTTTCTCTTCAGAAGGACAGTGCCATATTTATTGGGGCGCCATCCAGGGTCATCACCTGGTTCCTGGACTGGAATGTCGGCTCGGAGATGAAATCTTGGTGCCTATGCTCCAGGATTTACATGCAGCATATGCAAGGCTTGGACACTTTATTAAACTGGCCCTAGGCTCTCATTGAGTGTGGTAGGTTTGTTAGATTGTCAGCTCCTCTGGTTGTCCAATGTCCTCTATATAGTATTGTGTAATAGTTGATGCCATGGAACTATAACAAGTTTGTGCTGCATAAGCGTTTGCTAAGAAGATAAATGAACTGTTAAGTATATATGACTTTTTTTTTAATCCGGCGCAGAGAGCTGTTCATTCTGTTCTGTGGTCTCTCCTGTCATCCCCTATAAACTGTTGATAACAAGAAAGGGATGAAGAATGATCACGTTCTTTAGGTTCATAGGGGGTCATCCTCTCTCTTCTCTGCCAAGCATCAACTTATATTACCTCTGCTTAAAGGGAACGTATGGCCTCTTCAGAATTTGTTAGATATACATGTAAAGGAAGTCGGCTTGATTTAAAGAACCTTACCAATGTTTGTTAATGTTCCCGTTCCATGGTTCTATGTATAGATGTTAATTATATATCTACATAGGGTCTATTCATTCACCTGCTGTATCCTGTTGTCTGCTGTAACCTGCTGCATGTAATAAAGCCCTTCTTGGAAAATGTATTTGGCGAGTTCAGCTATCTGATAAGAACTGTGTGCAGTGCAGTGGCGTCACAAGGGGGGGTGCGCACCCGGACCCCGAGTGACACCATTGGAGGGGTGACACCAAAATGACTGACGGACCGGGTGAACGTTCCCTCCTCTCTCTGCTGGCAGGCGTCAGTAAGATGGCCGCATATGCGTGATGACGTCATCACGCACGGCAACGTAACACGCATGCGCGTTGACGTCACGGCGGGGTTTCACCCAGTCTCCGCTCCGGGTGTCACACAGCCTCGGGACACCCCTGCCGCAGTAATGATATCTGCTTATACAGGTCAGGCACAGAGGTCTCAGCAAGGGAAAGCTCGCAAATATAACAATCGGAGTAGGAATACTCACTTTTCCCAGTGCCCTCATCCCATTTGAACCGGCTGTTCAAAGTCCACTGGAAAGCCGACCCCTCTGACAGGCACAGTGTGATAAGTCCCCCAGATCTCTCACTGGTACCTCTCTCTGACCTCCACGTCACTGCGGGAGAGAGTGATGACAGTAGGTCAGAGGAAGGAACCAGTAAGAGCCATGGGACAAAATCTTTGGTCCACAAAATGCTCATTTTAACATGCAGGTCAAAAACAAAACATCATTGTTCCAACAGTCAACATGTTAAAGAGAAATGTTCACCTTGCCAATAGTATTAGCAAAGTGATAGTGCCTCCTGATAGCCAACTTGTCCCCAGCAAAGGTACACTCACCCACTTTGCTTGCTTGTCATCTTCCTTGGGTATGCGCCATTGTTAGATGGTGTTAGAGCTTACTCGGAAGAATGACACTGCCCCCCCTTCCCCAAGTGACAATGTTTGGGCCTGCCCATTGCCACTGTCACATGATTCCCATACCCTGACAGAGCATGGAGGCAGCAAAGGAGCATGGATTGCTTGCTCAGGGGAGGGACTTTAGGAAGGGAGGCAGGAGCATAGTAGCCTTCACCCAGCCTCTATTTGGTCATCTACAAATCTCTATATCTAGAACAACAATAAAATATGGGAGCAAACATGTACAACTCTACACTGCTTGTTTGGAGGACCAGATTCCTTTATTGTAACTCCATGCCTGCCTGTCACTATGGAACCACGCTGCTACGACCCGTATTATTAGTCAGCATTTATAACCGCCAACAGATTGTGCAGCTCTATACAATATAAAGAGAGACTGTCATGA